CCATACACTGTACAACCATCGCAAGACGTTAGTCTTGCGATGGTTGTAAAGGGATTAAAAAAACGTACGATCTGCCCATCTTGGACGGGCAGATCGCACTCTCGATCATCGCAAGCCACGCCCCCTGAGGGGCGGGCTTGCCATGACTGTAATGAGGGCCGGGCTTACGCTGACTGCAAATGGGCAGTGTGCGCGTGCGCACACTGGCCCGTTCGGCAGTTGTCGAACCAGCAGGCCACCAACTCGCCGAGAATCATACGATTCCCGGCGGGTTTTCAAACATGCTGGTTCGATGGAAGACGTGCGATCATACAGTAGAAACGGTCGCACGCCTTCCATACACTGCACGATTCTCGTACGATCGCGGGATTTCCCGCGATTCTCGTACGAGAATCGTGCAGTGTATGGGCACCTTTAGTGTATGGGGAGTAAAAAGAGGACAAGCCCTGTAAAGCCATTTTTACACGGCTGTTTTGATTAGATCCGCCTGTCAGTTTTCCAGGTGGACCTGATTGGAAGCTCAATGGTAGGCTGGCCATACACCTATTTGATTTTCTATAGATTTTTTTCTATCAGCATATGGTCAGATGGAAAAAGTGCAACAGATTCATCCATCTACGCTTAACTGTGTGAATGGAGGAATCTCTGACTGGGCCAAGCTTTAATATCTTGCTAATCTTTGTCTTCAGACGCCAGTGAAAGCCAGCGGCAGAAGATCCCATAGCGACCCAGGCGGCCCGCACGGCATTTGGCCGGGCCTCACTGTGCCCCGGGCCCCATAGCGACCGCCTGGGTCGCTATGGTGATTGTTACGCCACTGTATGACAAAGCAACTTCACCGATTTCTATGTGAGTTGCAGCATATGAAGCTAGACACAACATTACCAACTTTAATAGCTACTCATAAACACCACTGCAGCTGATGATGACTATGGCACGCTACTGATTTTTAGCTGCACAGACAAGTATTGTAGCTAGCAACAGTAGCAAAGCAACAACTCTGTAGCTAGCTACAAAACGTCAGAGAAAATATTATCAGAGAGATTTGTAACTGTTAGAAGTGTGTGGTACAAAGTAGCTAGTGGGACCAGTGCCTAGCCCAGGGTTTCTCAACCTTTTTCCAGTCACGATAGCCTTAAAAAGTATGCAAAATCTTAAGGCACCCCAGTCTAAAATGTAAGGGGGGGGGTTCTCCCTTCAAATCAAGAGGCCCATTTTACATCAAAGCCCCCCTTTCACATCAGAATTCTCCCTTTTTACACCAGAGTCTCCCTTTACACCAGAGTACCCCTTGAGATTAAAAGCCCTCTTCTTTCACATCAGAAGCACCCCTTCACAGTAGAAGCCACCTTTATATTAGAACTCCTCCTTTACATCAGAATTCCTCATTCACATCAGTCCTACCATCACAAAATTTCAAGGCACCCCTAAGGAAGCCAGAAGGCACCCCAGTGTGCCACAGCACCTTGGTTGAGAAAGGCAGGCCTACGCTATGTGCAGAAGTGGGTTTTTGCCGGGAATGTTTTGCCCACAGTATCAGAAAATAATAGGTGCCACAACTCCTTGCCTGCTTCCTATTGACGTGTGAACCGAACCATTTGGCTGTGTGAAAATGTTTAGACATGTTAGGGTTGATTTACTAGAGGCAAATAGGTTGTTCCTTCTGCAAGGGAATTTGCACCTTGCAGGGGACGTTTCCCCTTAGTTTAGTGAATGAGTTGAAGCTCTGTTGACTTCCCTCACCCAAGCAAAATTACTGTTTTTTGTTCCCCTGTGCAGAATTGGGTAAATTCTGCAAAGTAAAATTTCACCACGTTCATCAAGCTGAGGGAAGCTTTCCCTGAAAAGTGCAAATTCTCTTCCAAAGTGAACAGCCTATTTGCCTTCAGTAAATCAGCCCCATTGCATGGAGGTGCATAGCAGGAGTCAGAGCGGCCTGCCAAGTGTTCTCTTATAGCCGCAGCGTGAAGCAACCCTTAGGGCCTGTTCACACCATGTCCGGATCATGTCCAGACCAGAACAGTTTGTTCCCGGATCCATAAAGCATCCCAATGTATCTCTATGGTATTTCTGGGCTCTGTTCACACCAGCGCAGTCCGTTCCGGTCCAGATAAAAAGAAATTACTGCTTGTCTCATTTTCTCTGGTCTGGAATGCACTGAAACGCATAGAAAAGCATCACAAATGCTCACAAACGCATGCAAACGCACTGGAAAGAACTGTACTGCACCTGTAAACCCATTTTTTTAAAACAAATTGTAAAATCATGGTAAAAACGCAGCAAAATGCAATGCACCACGTTCCAGGTCAGGTCCAGATATGGTCCGGAAAATGGTGTGAACCTGGCCTTAGCCTTGATTCACACCTGAGCATTTTGTAGCTTGCCTTGCTTTTAAGTTGTGCCTGTTCACTTTTGAACACTTGGGCACCTGTAGCTTGATGCCTGAAGCTCAAAAAGGTACGAGTCCTTTTGTAGCAGAATGGGGTTCGTTAGACTTCAATGAAAGTGCCTGAAAAACACCTGAACATGAGCATTTTTCAAGGTTAAACAAACATCTCCTTCTAGTACCTACCGGTAGCTCTCCTTCGAGAGGAAAATGCGTGAATGGAAAAACTACAAGTTCCACCAGCCACCACGGTAGAGGGACTTGTAGTTCTTACAAAAACACAAGTGAAGTGATGTCATGGCACTTTTAGCCCATTCATTCTTCCTCCAATCTATGTATTTGAAAGTCCATACCTTGCTACGTACAGGGACAGGAGGGAGAATCTGCAGGAGCCAGATTATTGCATCTGCAATCCACTGGTCAAGGTTGCAGTGCTTTACTGCAAAACATAATTAATGAATATACATTTTATTTTTTTTTACTTTTCAAAGTCTTTTATTGGTTTTCAAGTTTTTCACAAAAGAAAAATATAACATTGGTGCATATAAGGTTACATACATGTATAGTGATAACATACAAGCGTATGGAGCATCATGACAAAGTTAGCTGTCCCCATTCGGCCACCTTCTGTATTGGCCGTGGAACACTTTTACATAAGAATGAAACAATCTGATGAACCTGTCAGGCAAATGTATGTAGTCATCAGAGTCACATGGATCCATAGGCGGGATCAGAGTTCCTGTGTGTGACTGTAGGGACAGTAAAGAGAAGATAGAAAGAAGGGGGGGGCGGATAGGAAAAGTGCTACCAACCAGCTCCCTCAACATCGTCCCAGTTGGTGGGGGTCGGTTTGGTGAGGCCTGAATCAAAGCGTCAATAGTTGTCGGTCGAACGACGGTGGTAGGAAATGTGTGACCCAAGGGTCTCAGATTTTTTCGAATTTGGGCATGCAGTCCAGTATACGGGCCGAAAGTTTTTAGTTGTAGAATGCCCAGTGTATTTTATTTTTCATTTCTGATATACTTAGTGATTTTGTCAACCAGGCTCTAGCTATTGTACGTTTGGCCGCAGACAGTATCTGCAGCATTAGTTTAAATTGTAGGGCAGTAATGCCTAATGGTCGAACATTGAGGAGGAGCTTCCTGGTGTAGGTGAGATATGTCTGTTCAGTGAGACAGAGATAATCTGGAAGACCTTCCTCCAAAAGGCGGCTACAACCCGGCATGACCACCACATGTGAAAGTATGTACCCCTGTTACCACACCCCCTGGTGCAAAGGCCGTCGTACAAAGTGTACCACCTGTGTAGGTCACTCTCGCTTCCGTTCAGCCGACGGTTCTCAGCCTGGCCAGCTGATTTCCCACAGTATCGGACGGCACGAACATTTCCACTGCACAGCCTGTATACAAACAAGGCTACAGGACAGCAGATTTCTGGTGCTCCAGCCACAGGAGCCCTCCAGCCGTCACCACCAACCTTCCTCCAATACCAGTGGGCTAAACTAGATACTCCAAGCCCATTGTAATATTCATACAGTCTAGCTGCAGAAGTCGGCTGTGACCCATGCTGACAGCACCATCCACCCTTCACCGGCAGGACATTGCCACGTCAATGCAACAGTGAGTCTCAAATTTGTTATTATTAATTTTAAGCATTATATCCTTTTTTAAACAACAAAATCTCTGGGTATGTAGCGCTCCTTTTTCTGCTTTTGTCACGGCGTGGCATAAAGCCCACTTGATCCTCGTGGATAAGGATCAGCCCATTTAATCTAGTTGCAAGAATTTTAGCTAGAATGTTGATGACGACATTCAGAAGCGATATTGGTCTGAAAATCGACCAGGTGGTATTATTTGAATTTGGTTTTGGGATCATACATACTGTAGCCGCTAGGGATTCCTGTCTGAATCGACCGTTAACTCTGAGGGTGTTTAATGCATTAGTGAGCAGTGTCTTTTGTTGGGCTTAAGGGATTTTATGGCCGCCTGCACCCTGCTATGTTGGAGGCGGGCGGAGCGGGTCTAAAACATGACCTCTCCGGATCGCCGCGCGCATGCGCCCCCACATTTTTTCTTTGAAGAATGTGTGTGCATTTATATTTTTTTTTCTAAAAGGTGGAATTTTCCCTCTAAAATGCAGTCTTTTCTTGTCAAACATTGCATTTTGCATTCAAACACATTTTAGCAGCACTGCCCATGTAGATGAGCCCTCTTGACTTCACGTGGGCATCAGGCCCGAACATATTGCCTACTGAAATCAGGGGACTTCATATTCCTCTAGATACCAGGGAATGTGGCATTGCTGTTATGGTGACAGACTGTGAAGAATATAAGCAGCAAAATGTATTATTTACAGTATAACACATAGAATTATTTCTCTTTTGACTATATTTTTTTGTAGTAGACGGGCAGAAGAAACAATAAAAAGCTTGTCTCCAGATACAATAAATGAAATGGCATTTTTTTTATTTGTGAAATATAGGGTAGAGAACATGTGTATGTGGAAATTTCCATTAGAACACACTGGTGCTGAGGGCACAGTGAGGCGGCTGTAGTGGAGCTCCTCCACACTAGGGGGCAGCACTTCCTCTCTCACCTATTTACAGTGTGTTCATCCCGTTCACAAAGTGTCAGTGCTGGACGAGGCCAGGGTGACAATGAGGGGGACTGTGATGACTAGACTCCAGTGTCTGAGCCGATCTGCGGCTATACTGAGAAGGAGGAGGTGTATGAGCACCGTGCAGAATGATCCCTCTCCACTCACTGTCAGTGTACAAGAAGGGGGCATAAGGTAAAGTGTAACAGTAGGCACAGCTCAGCCTGGGACAACACCAAACTTTTCTTCCAGGGTTATCAGGATATCAGAGACGAGGCTAGCCTGTGCATTTGAAGGCAAGGAACACTTTTTGCCAAATACAGTTATAATAAATATACCCAAACTGCAAAAAGAGCAAATGTACATCTATTCATGTTTTGCATTGAAGCTTGCAAGGCATTGCAGCTGTGATCTGTGGCTGGCAGGTGCAATGCTCTGACTCCTGCAGACTCTTCCTCCAGTCCTTGTCTGTACTGAGGACTGGCTATCAAATCTGGGGGTTGGAGGATGGTCAACTACTTGCTGTCTGGAGCAATTTATTAAACGAGAACTACTCGGATAGCAAGCAATTGAGCTGCAAGTTTGAAAATGACTTGCTAAACTATTGCAGACTTGCCAAGCGTCACAATTTTGTTGCACAATTACAGCAAGTCTGCATTGCAAGTCTCCAGATCAATAAGCTTTGCAAAAGTGTTCTTGCTCAGACCTGCAGGACATGCAAATTTGCTACAGATTCAAAAAGTGTCAACTAGAACTTGTGCTGCAAGTGTTCTGCAAGTCTACAACTTGCCAGGAATGTGTGCAGCAAGTTAACAAGAATTACAATTGAACCCTGCCACGAGTTTGTGGTAAGTTATCCTTGATATCTGGGTATAGGGGTGAGTGAATTACACTTATCCCCATAGTTAGAGCTGATGTATGACATTGAAACTGTCACAGGTCGGCTCTATTGATCGGGAAGTGAGCAAAAACATATGGTCACTCGCTCACTTTCCGATAATATCCCTGACAGTCACCGCTCCCTGCAGGGATTCCGATCCTCCAGCGCTGACTGGAGGAACAGACGAGGAGGGGGCGGGCACAGTTAGCTCTGCCTCTAGACAGTCAGAGCCAGCAGTCAATCAGCCAGCGGGGTGGATCTTGACCGTATTGTCAGGATCCGTCCCGGCTGTGGCACTCTCAGCATATAGCAGGCAATAGCCCGCTATATACTGAGCTTCGGGTCATGGGAGGAGGTTGGTATATGTCCTCCCGTGACCCTAAAGAGAACGATGGCAAAAAAAGGTTACCCTATAGTTCTCTTTTAATATTTACACAAACATAAAATCTGAATTTTTGGCTAGAAAGCAGCTAAAACCTCCAAATAATTATATGTTTTCGGAAAGGAGAGGCTCTGTAAAATAAAAAAATGCTAGCAGCAATTTTTTATGTTGCATGATACCTGCGCAAATGTTTATCAAACCAATATTTTTAGGATAAAATTAAATTTAGTTCACAGAAACAATATACCCTGTTTCCCCCAAAATAAGACCTACCCTGAAAATAAGACCTAGTACTATTTTTGGGAATTCTTAAAATATAAGACCTACCCCGAAAATAAGACCAAGTTGTGACCTTTCCCAGGGTCGGTGGTGGCAGAAGGGGAAACTTGAAGAGTCGCGGGAGAGAATCGGCGATGCCAGCGCTAGAGGAAGCGAGGCCGCAGCGGAGGGAGCAGAGCCGCATAAGCCGCATGCCTCCTCTATAGCGCCGGCTCCTGTCACAGGCGGAGTGATACCAAATGCACTCCACTCCGCCTGTGAGGAATTGATAGTGAAAGCTTTGCTCATTCTGGCCAGCAATTGGTTGCCAAATTGCTCTTGGAAAGGTACGACGCACCCCTGATTGCCCTGATCAACCTATTCTTACCTTTGCCATTTTGGATTATTTAATTTAGATTTGCATTAATTTTGGATTGTTGTACATTAAAAAAAAAAAAAAGACCTACCCCGAAAATAAGACCTAGTGTGTTTTTTTGAGCCAAAAAAAATATAAGACAGTGTCTTATTTTCGGGGAAACACGGTAATATATTTTTTGGGTAAAATATAAAAGATGGGGTCACGTCGGGTAAATAGATATCAAACACGCTAAGCCTTAAACTTGTGTGCGCCCATGAAATGATTAAAAAAAAACACAATACTCCAAAACTTTGTATTTTTTTTTTTTATTTGTGAATTTAATTTTTTCATCTTTTTGTTGTTGTTCCACTTAACTTTATTGCTATCCCTTATGTAATAGTAAAAAGGATGTAGCAGGTCCTCTTTATGGAGACATTGGGACCCTAATGTCACTTGGGAACCCCGGAGAAGCTGATAAAGCAGAGATCTGCTTCACCAGCTTCTTCTCCAGCCACAGCAGCTGGGAAATGACACACTGAAACTGGAAGTGATGTAATACACACACACGCTTCCTGGTTCAGTGATCATAGTGCTGAAAGTGTGCTTGTTGCCCTCCGATCAATGTGAAGAGATCTGCCATGCCAGTCCTGGGCCTGCACCGGGGACATCTGAGCCCGGGATATCTAAAGGTGGAGAGCTCTATAGCTGCCGAATCTCTTGTATGTAAACAGCCATGGACAGCTGCTGAAAACGGTGAAATGGTGCAGCAGCAGCCACGATCTTGGTATAACTGCTTCGGGATGCCGCTGTATATTGCTAAACGGGTGTGATCGGATGTTAAAGGGGTTCTAAAGCCTCTCGTTTTTTTGCCTATATCTACTGCTGTCAAGCAGTAGATATAGGCAAAAAGTTTAAAAATAGCTTAAACAGCGGTTTAGACTGACCTCATTATCGCTGCGCGCTCCCGCGGCAAGAGTCCGGAACTGTTCGTGCGGCCGCAAAGGATCTTGGGGCAGGCGCATGCACAGTTCGGATTCTCGGCCGGGAGACGAGCAGAGACGCAAGGTAAGTCTATGGACGCGTGCACCCGGCAAGCAGAGAAAAGTTGAAAAGGGGGGGGGGGGGGGGGACATTTTTTATCCTTTAATGTCACTTTAACAATGAAAATTCTAAACTAACCCTCTGCACACTGCTGTACACCATACACTTTGGATGCAGTGCTCTGGCTAGAGATTCTTCTTCCTGTCGTCTGTAACTTGGAACTAACATTTGGTTACAGGAATGGGAGGAAGAATGAAAGGATCAGGTAAGTAGATTTTCTTTATTCTGGCCCCTAGACTAAAACAAGCAGTTAACCCTTGCAGTGCGGGGCTAGCCCCACTGCAAGGGTTAATTTGTACATTTCCTGCCGTTCTTCTTTAAAAAGCTTTCAACTTCAATATCACTTGAAAATTGTTCTTCTATCTGTAAATTGAGACTAAAATGATTGTTTTTCTGTACAGGAAAATAACTATGAATAATCCCCAGAAACGTAATGCTTTATCGCTTTCCATGCTGCAGTCTCTTCAGAAAGATATTTCATATGAAGTTGATGATATGAATTTAAGAGTCATTGTGATTGCGGGTATGTATGTAAATATTTCCCCATGCTTTTTGTTTGTACCCATCATTCCTAAAACACTCTGCAATGTATCTTTATCTTCTTCCCTTCAATATTCATATCCTTAACAGCGGTGTTACATTTTTCTTTCACGTTGATACAACAATTTATCATAGCAATTATTGTTTGGTCCACTCTTAAGAGCACCATCTCATGTCATAATGAAGTACATTAAAGGCTCAGCCCACCTTTATATTTTCTGTTACACCCATATTGTTGTAAAAGAACACCATGCATACTGTATGACAGTGTGGTCTTAGTACCACCAGCCATCCCAACTTTTCAGTTTTCTGAAAGATCTCTGTCAGCAAAGACAACAGCACACCATATGTGCAAGTACTTTTTAACCCCAAAATAGTCCCATGTGCTCCCAGCAAACCCCTTGATGCCAAGCACATGTCATACATAGGCCTCCATCATGCCACCTCTGAAGCAGTGAGGTGCAGTTGGAGTCCGTTCTCGGTGAGGCATTTCCCCTGCCCGCCTCCGGCCCATGTCCTGCCCCAGCCCAGCCACCAAACTGTGTGGAGGAGACAGGGAGGAGCCCCCCTGTCCCTCACTTGCTCGTCACCGGTGAGGCATTGAGATTGATGTCCTCAGTGTTTTTTTCTTTCTTTTTTTTGATTGGACAGCTTGGACCAATGGCGCCTTGCCATTGGCCCAAGCCACCCACAGAGCTCAAGCCTCTAACAGTAAGTAGCTCTTGCCTCACTAAGTTAGGTTGCACAAGCAGTAACCTAACTTAGCTGTCAAAAGCCAGATGCAGCTTTACCTGTATTTAACAGGCAGCACTCCATCCATGACAGGTTACATAACGGGGAGGCTTTCCCTGCTGTGTAACCCTCCATCCATGACAGGTTACATAACGGGGAGGCGTTCCCTGCTGTGTAACCCTCCATCCATGACAGGTTACATAGCGGGGAGGCTTTCCCTGCTGTGCAACCTGCTAGAAGCTGATCTGAATGGAGAAAAAGCTGTCAGCTTTTTCCTCCATAGTACTAGGTGTGGCTCTGCCTCCCCTGACCGCACGTCCTTGCTCTGAAGCACCACCCCAACCATACAACAGCTCTGTGCTGAGAACTTCTGTAGTTGACTGATATGTTTGCATTGAATAGCTAAGGGGCTTAGTTTTAAATCAGAGTTAAAGTGTAGGTTTAGGTATGGCATGTTCCTGAAAAAAAGGGGCTTCCAAGGAACACAAACAATTATTTCATGAAAAAAGAATTTGGTGCCTGCACTATGGGAGTATTGTTTGCAAAATGTTATAAACTGATAGGTTCACTTTAGGCCTGTATCTGATCCTTGTGTAATGTGTGCATTGCTTCCACATTTTCAATATTCTTAGAACAGAATGTTCCAACTGCAGCCATGATAAGATGAGAGATTTTGGAAGAAATGTGGTATGTTGTTCTCACACAACCAAAACAACATCTATTTTATATTCCTGATTTACAGCTGAAGGACCTGTCTTCTCTTCTGGCCACAATCTGAAAGAATTTACATCTGCTCAAGGAAGAGCTTATCACGCAGAAGTATTTAATGCCTGTGTCAAGGTGAACACCAGCTTTCCTTTATTTATTCTAAATAAAGATACATTTATAATCTACAAGTGGATCTTACATAGCTACATAGTTAGTCAGGTTGAAAAAAAGACAAAAAAGTCCATCAAGTCCAACCTATATAGAAAAGAGAAGAGAAGAACAAAAAAAAAAGCACACCTCCATAAACAGAACGCTATGCCCACAGTTACCCACATCTGATCCAGAGGAAGGCAAAAAAAACCCTATAAAGCATGGTTCACTTTGCTCCAACAGGGGAAAACAATTCCTTCCTGATACCATAAGGCAATCGGATATTCCCTGGATCAACAATCGCTGGTGTTTTTTTAATTGATAAAATCTAGTAATATTCTGTGCATTTAGGAATACATCCAGGTTTATTTTAAACTGTTAACTGAGCTAGCTAGAACTAGCTCCTGGGGGAGTCTATGCCACATTTTCACACCTCTAAGGTTGGGTTCACACCTAGGTGTATCGTTTGTCACGCTCTTTGTGCCGCGCGTTTTTACCGCGATTCGCGGTTAAAAAAAACGCGCGTTTCCGAGGGCTACATGGCTGTATCCAAATTGATACGCGCGGCAAATACGCCCCAAATAAGCTCCTGTACTTCTTTGGGCGTAGGGCGTTTTGTAGCGCGTTCATACGGCCTGTAATACGCCCAGGTGTGAACCATAACCATAGGAAATAATGGGATTTCGGTGTTTGAGCGTTTTGCAGAGCGTTCGAACGCGCTACAAAACGCCCAGGTGTGAACCAGGCCTAACTGTGAAGAAGCCTTTCCGTAGGCAAAGGTTAAGCCTCTTTTCCTCCAGACGCAAAGAGTGCCCCCTTGTCCTTTGCAGTGGCCTTGAAGTGAATAATTTCACTATAAGAACTATTGATGTATTATACATCGTTATTATGTTTGCATTGTTTGATTTGGAGCCATTAGAAAATGTTTTTTTTATGGCCAAGTGCATCTTTAAAGCTCTCATCAAGCCAAAAGCTTTTTTTAGTTTTGAATAGAGTGGGGAAGGATTAGTACTGCTGTTTATTTTTGACTGTTATCTGAGGATCCATTACAGAGATGTATCCTTGCTTTGTGTCCTTTTTGACAACACCTGCACCAGACAGGAAGTGAGGTAAAATCTACAATGGTGTCACGCTCTCTCCTTCTGTCCCACAACAATGAGCTGCTATCACAGAGTGAGTGAGAACGCACTACATGCATACGTTTTGAACAAGCCAAAGTGATTGTTCCTGCGGTGCTGGGGGTGTGCTTCCAATGTCCATGTAGACATGTACACGTCATGAGCAAATTCTATTTTCTTCCATTGCTGACCCTTCCTTCTGAAAACTCAAGTTTCCTGGTTGGCATTCAGGTGCCAGTGCTTCAGTGAGTTGCTGACCCAGAGCAAGTACAGAGATAAAAAAATCTGACACCAGTTCACAGCATCCAGGTCGGTGACTCAAAATTATTGAAGAGGACACAACTAGGTGGCTAGCATTTTCAGACGGAAGCCAGCAGTAGCCTTCTTTATACTTTTCCTTGACAGGTTTACTTTAATTAGGCAAGTTACAGTCTTACAGGAATTTCCACTTTTAACTGAAAATGGAAAAACATTTTTTACCTGGCATTCTTATGCAGCAGAGTTTGACCCTTGCTCTTCTGTTGTCCACTTGGCATTTAGGGTTGTAAATAGTAAAAGGAGTTGGGCACTCCAGGGCACAGGTACATCTATGTAGCTCACAAGATGAAGTTGTTATCCACTACCACAGTAAAAAGGAAAATCCCCTTTCAGGATACAGTTTCAGGCTTGTTAGAATATGTACTTGAATGGTCCACAAATATTTCTCTTACTCCTGCATTTGTTTTGGGAAGAGCCCTGTCAAGAAAAGTTAGTGTACATGTGTTTTTACTCAAAACCACGGTAACCACGGTAATACTTTCAGATTTGGTAAACCATGTATTTGGGTTGTTAGTAACGACTATTGTTTTTTGCAGCTTATGAAAACGATCCAGACCATTCCAGTTCCTGTCATAGCTCAGGTTAACGGACTGGCCACAGCCGCAGGATGCCAGCTTGTTGCCAGCTGTGATATAGCTGTGGCATCTGACAAATCCAAGTTTGCTACACCAGGTGTGAATGTTGGACTTTTCTGCTCTACTCCTGCTGTTGCTTTGGGAAGAGCCGTGCCAACAAAGGTTAGAACTTATCTATTATTATTATTACTGATTTGTAAACACAAAAATCAAGCCAGGCTTGCTTTCTTCATGTGGTTTTACATCACCCAAAATGTCATCTGTGTGTAGGGATGCACCCATACCAATTTTTCGGTATCGAGTACCAATATTTTTTTTGGGTACTTGCCGATACCGAGTACCGGTGCCGTGTGCCCCAATTATCAGTAAGTTGGGTGGCTTTCTGATTGCCTGTAAAGCCGGTGTTCTAGCAAAAGAACACCGGCTTCACTTGGCGAGGCTGCCTGACTTCCTGACCAACCAGGAAGCCGGGCGGCTAGTCATGAGGTGCGGTCCGGCTTCCTGATTGGTTAGGAAGTCAGGCTGCCTACCAACAAGTAAAGCTGGTTTTCTATCCAATCAGGAGGCTGGGCGGCACGTCATGTCTCGCGTCCCGGCTTCCTGATTGGTCAGGAAGCCATGCTGCACAGCAACAAGTGAAGCTGGCTTCCTAGCCAATCAGGAAGACAGGAGGCAATTCATAACCCACCTCCCGGCTTCCTGATTGGAAAGGAAGCCGCCTCCATGCTCCCTCTGCACTGCCGGTCAGAGGGAGGTCTCCCTGTGTAATTACAACGGCCGGCCGGGAAGCTGCTCGTCGGGCTTCGTCGTCCTCTCGTCGCGGACGAGTGGATTTTTCAAGCCCTGAGTATCGGTATATCCCTAGTGTGTATGAGTGTGTCTTATCAGTGTGGCAGAAATTGCAGATTGATTGTGCATAGCTGCCAGTTTGTTGTGGCCTGATCCACAGATAAGCATATGGATGTATACCTTCTTATTTTCTCTATTTTGATGGGCACACTTTTTGCTAGACTGCAAGCGGTTATTTAAGAATATACAGTCCATGTGTGCAGCGATGGTTGTAAGGTGTATGGGCATCCTAAAAGCTCATGAACTGGTACCAGTATTTTGTTGATAGTTGCAGGTAATATATTATATCATCATTATTATAACATAGTACTGTGTTTTCCCTGTTTTATTCATAACCATCATTTCATTTCCTCTGAACTTAGTGTATCTCCGCTTTAGCAGTCAAATGGAATAACACCTATTTTATAGTTGTTACCGTAACGTAAATAATAGTAAGGTTCTTAAAATTTGACTAAAAATGGAAATACACTTTAAAATACAAAGATAATTTAAAAGAGATCAGCTGCAACCAACATGTTGGTTGCTGTACTAAGTAGTCAGTGCAAAGAGCAATGAATCCTTCTTACGCGTTCCCATGTGTTCATGTGATGTGACATTGTTTGGCCTAGCACAGGGGATGCTGTTAGAAGCTTCCCTGCCTTATACTTAATCCACATATTACTGCACCTTTCCTCAATGCACTTTGAAAAATAGTCATTATAATACATTGCAGACTTGGGGAAGTGACTGGAACCAACCCAGACCATTCAGACACAGGGGCCCAATCACAGCTAGTTGTACCCTATAGACATTGATGCCTAAAACCCCTGAATTCAGCTAAGTTGGGTGACAGTTGTTACATGAAGATACCAGCAAGCACTACCTTCATATCATTCTGAATAGAATAGTTGACTCTTCGGTTGACTTTTTTTTTTTCTGTTCAAGATAATGTCCAGATCAAGGGCATCTGCCCATACACCTCTACTATGTGAAAATCTATTTATGGGCAGCAAAAGTCTGCATAGTCATGTAATGTTTGTGGCCTATTTACGTTGCATTATACTGGTTGTCTAATGGTTGCAGCGGAGAGTCTTTTTTCCAATCTGTTGTTTAATCTTGCAGGTTGCCTTGGAAATGCTGTTTACAGGCGAACCAATATCAGCCCAAGATGCTTTGCTACATGGCCTTGTCAGCAAAGTGGTGCCCGAGGAGAACTTGGAAACTGAAACGATGAGGATTGCCAGCAAAATTTTCCATGCCAGTCGTCCTGTAGTTGCACTGGGAAAAGCTACATTTTATAAGCAAATTTCGCAAAGCTTAGAAGAGGCTTACAAGCTTACTTCACAAGCCATGCTTGAAAACCTTGATCTAAAGGATGGCCAAGAAGGAATAGAGGCCTTCAGACAAAAAAGGAAGCCAGTGTGGACTAATTAACTGGAATAATCCCCAATCAAAATATTGCCATAATTCTTTAAATAATAATACACTGAACTATATGACTTAACAAAAAAATGTTATGTTTGATTATGAGAAGGAATTCATATTGCTGTGGAACAATGTGCTGGAGATTATAAAACACTGTTAAAAATGTATATGTGTGTTTTGCTTACCAACAAATTCTTAAATTTTGTGATACAATATTTTTGACCGATTTATAATTGGTACCTGACATTGCTATCCATTCTTCATTATACTCCACTTGGGTATGCACACCACGGCCCACATTTTACAGCTCATTCATCAAATGCGGGCCACAGTGTGGAGCCTGAATTGCGCCATGGCGTTATCTCTCTGTTTAAAGCAGCATAAAGAACTAATCCATTGGAGGAAAGCCGGTCTTGTGACTGTGACATGACTTTTCTTCCTGGTCATGGTACTATACATCTGCTTTTTAAATGTACTGTGTGTAAATTATACAGATCCAAAAATTCTTCTTCATGTTTTTGCAAGTCCATAAATGGAACCCTGTAACTTACATGTATTGTAACTCCATTTGCCCCTGGTTGACCTTTATGGGTCCCTGTTAAAGCTTGCAAGGCTGTAGTCGTGCTTTGTTCACAGGATATGGCTCCAGAGGATGTCACCTGCATCTTACCTTTAGTCTCCAGCTGAAAGATGAAGAGCCTCTATGTCAGGCTTGTTACCAGCCACTGCCACTTTCTCTTCTCTAATAAGGGATTTCGCAAAAATCATGGTGAATAGTGTCCAGCCTGACAGAGAATGCCTTCAGAGAGGGGCAGCTGCAGTGGTACAATCTCATCAGTTTCAAAATGAGGTATCATTGCATTCTTTTAGATTGTAAGCCCTCACGGGCAGGGCCCTCCTTACCATCTTGTCTTGAATTGTATTGTAATGTCTTCCTTATATTGTAAAGCGCTGCGCAAATTGTTGGCGTTATATAAATCTTGTATAATAATAATAATAAAAGTCCTTTAATTTTTACAAAACTAAAATAATCCTTTTAAGTGCAAGTTTTCTTTGGCGGACACGCATGCCAATTCATATGGTGCTGCTATGTAAAGCAATATGGTAGGGGTGTGTGTTTGTGTTCATGTACTAAATATTTAATAGGGACACTATATAAATACGGAAACATATACCAAAAATACATTTATCCTTAATGTTATCCCCAAGGCTTATCCCCAGCTCTTTATTGTACAAAGCCTGAGCTTTGACCTAAGAGCCTAATGTATGTTTAAACCTGTTACCAGATACACTGCACGTTTTGGGAAAAGAATGCTAAGGGCTAGTTCACACCAAGCGCAGAGCAGATCCAGAGCAGAGCAGGTGCAGACCGGATCAAAACTCCGTCCAATGTATTCCAATGGTATTTTGAGCTCCAGTACACACCGCAGCGTGCAGATCCAGAGCAGGTTAAAAAAATGCAGCCGGCCCTATTTTACCTGCTCTGGATCTGCAAACGCATCAAAAATGCATGCAAATGTCTGGAACGCACTGAAAGTCCATGATAAACTAAAAAAAAATTTTTTTTGCCAAAAACGCATCTAAAAGACTAGCGTGTGTGTGCAGAAACCTAACCGGATCTGCTCTGCATTTGGTGTGAACAAGGCCTAAAGGAATTTCAACATAATAAACACAAAGCATACATTTGTTTATGTTTTACCAACAGAATATACAGCATATTAAAGTTAGAAGACATACTGTGCATCTTTATTTAAACTGCCAAATAATCCAAAGAGTATATTTTTATCCAACTGTAAATTTCTTGAAATTATTACAGGGGAGTATTTTAACATCAGTCCCATGTTGAAGGGAGGGTTTCTCCTGTGTTGCAACTCCAACAAAAGGTGATCTTAGCTTTATTAGTTCATATGCAACAACACAGTTGAGTACTGTCTGGGATACTTTTTTTTTTTTTTGCACTAACAGTTACTGTAAAAGTGTCAGTGACATTTGGTGTTATAATCCTTCTCCATTGCAAAATTAAGAAAAATGTTTTTGACTTGAAATATACATCAAGTTCAGATGTCTAAGGAAAGCTAGCACCGTAGAAATAACTCTCCTCAAGAGCAAGTCAGTCCCTGACTTCTTGTTGCTTATTTGCCATTATAGGCTGTGGAAGGCTGTGTTATATTATATCTCCCACAAGCACAGGAAGCATTTTCAGTAGTAAAACTGCAATAGTGGAAGAAACATAACAGGTTAATTTTAAACAAAAAAAAGAAAAACTATATTTGACAAAAATATATTTTGTGCTTATGCAACTTTACTTTCTTTCATTAGGACTCCCTTGTTGCACAGAAGAGAGGATTAAAGATAATAAAGGTATTCACTGTTATCATACAAGACAGAGCGATAAGCCCCCTTAGTGCTCTCTGGACAGAGGGAGAAGAAAGCAGATGAACATCAGGACCTCCCCTGGTCCAATCATAGAACAACTTGTATTCAGTGGTCATTTTCTTAGCTGTGCCCCCAACTTGAAGTTTCAAGACACCATGCCTGTATCTCCCATAGTTTGACTGCCACGCCCCCACCCAGCCCCGACTGCCATGCCCCGACCCAGTCCTGACTGCCACGCCGCCACTGAGCCCTGACTGCCACGTCCCCACCCACCCCTACTGGGAGCTGCTGTAAATGAACACAGCAGCGTATGGGCAGGGGGGCATGCCAGCCAAAGTAACTGAGATATACATGGCACCATCCTGTAACTCCTAGCGGGAGGGAGGAGCATCTGTAAGTGACATATGCACCTCCCTCCCACCCATTTACAAGACTTACATGCCACTGGGGAACAGGGACAAACAGTGGCTATGTAGGCATGTGATTGCCACATAAAACATGGAATACGGTATTTAATGTATTTTTTTTCCAAATTATATAGTGGGCTACTGCCTGTTATTTGCTGACAGTGTAGAGCCATGATGCAGCCAGGAAAGACCCAGACAATATTATCAGGAACCACCCTGCTATCTGATTGACAGCTAGCTCTGCCTCTCTAGAGCCAGAACCCAGCTGTGCCCGCCCCCTCCCCTGTCTGTCCCTCCAGTCAGCGCTGGAGGAATAGAGAGAGGGGGGCGGTGAATCAACATGGGGAGCGGTGAATGACAGTCACCACAGCCTGCAGGAAGAAGCCATGAGCTGAGCAATCAGCAGTTTGTGATCGCTCATTCCTCGAGCTATAGAGCCAACATGTGACAGGTGTGTGTCACATGCGGACTTAAACTATTGAGTAAAGTATATTTTACTCTCCTAATAGTTCTTTAAATTGTACAATTTGATCACTAGGAAATTGGTGATGCTTGAACCCACCTCCAACAGTTTAGGTAAAATCATTTCATGCAGCTCAGAGACTTTGTCTTGTAAAATGATTTTGTCCCTGTATATTGTAACAGTAATTTATTCATGCAAATTTGCAAGATATGTAGTTTTATATTGTATTAGCTATACATGGCAAATATTTTTTAAACGCTTTCAGCTTTTCAGTTTATAGTTAGCAGGTAAATCAGTAGGTGGGTTTGTTGGCCATAGGAAAACAGGTAGGATACTTTCAATGTTAAGGCAATATATTATCCCAGCATCATAATAATATGCTCAGCACTATAATCATACCACCATGCACACACACACACAGTAAAATCAGCACAATACTAATATACATCAGCACTTATAATATTATCTGCCAGTAAGATGCTACATCCCTCAGTACCATGATAATATGCCTTGGCGCTAAAATAATAGCCTCTACCAGTAGCAGCATAATACTATCTCCTGCTACCAGCACTATGATAGCCAGCAGTATACTATCTACTAGCCCCTAATTATATTATCCAGCAACATAATAGCTTCCACAGCACTATAATTAGATCACACAGCAGAACATTCCCCAGCACCACATCCCAACAATATGATATTATCATTTCAGCACCAAAACAATATCTTTAAAGTGGAAAACGACTAATTATAAGGTTGAAACACATAACCATTCTCCAGTAAAGGATTTTGTCCTTACTAGACTATATATTTTTTCATTAGTTTAGGTTTTCTGTGCATACCAAAATGTATCTTTTGTTTTCATTTATATCATTCATTCCTGGAAGAACATGAAGCTAATGAGTATATATTTCTAGTAGGACGTAGGTGTTATAAAGAGTAGAATATAGTATAGGCTTCAAGTAGAACTGATGGCCAAACTTTTTTTTTCAGTTTTTGATAGAGTAAGGAAGGGTTATAACTAGGGATAGAACGATACCATTTTTTTCAGATCCAGTATGAGTACCAATACTTTTCCTCAAGTACTCGCCGAAACCAATTACCGATACTTTTTTTAAATGTCATGTGACAGTTTTTCTAAAACAATACAGACTTATGATTTTAGTACAGTGGTGGAGTGCCAGGACCTAGTCGCAGCTGCGACCCTGGTAGTTCTGCCACTGACTCCAAGCTGTAGAGGCACTACAAATCCCAGCAATACGTTATACAGCAATGCAGAATGGCACTGGCTTTAGAGGACTACAAATACAGCAAAAGATTATCAGCAATGCAGAATAAACACCATCAGCTATAGAGAACCTCAAGTCTCAGAAATACATGATATAGCAATGCAGAATGGCACCAGCTATAGAGGAGTACAAATCCCAGTAATACATTATACAGCAATGCAGGATACCATCAGCTATAGAGGACTACAAATCCCAGCACTACATTATACAGCAATGCAGACTGGCATCGGCCATAAGGACTACAAATCCCATACATACATTATACAGCAATGCAGAATAATAGTATATGCATTTTCTACATACTTTGTGCTGCCACTCTGCTCTGGGGTGCCATGCTGATAACTCGGGCAGAGGGTCTCAGGAGGGCATGGAGGATCTCCAGAGGGCTGTAGAGGGTCTGAGGAAGGGTGCGGAGGATCTCGGGGGCTGCAGGGGGTCTAAGGAGAGGTGCGGAGAATCTAGGAAGAGCTGTGAAGGGTCTCGGAAGGGGTGCAGAGGATCTCAGGAGGGGTGCAGAAGGTCTCAGGAGGGGGAGATGTGTGGGCCAGTGCTGTAAACAGAGACCTTATGGCAGCCACTTCAATTTAAAAATTGAAAGCGCCGGTATTGGTTTTGGGTGTCAGGGC